CCAATTTAAGTGTATTCCCACTAGTGGGATGCAGTTAGTTTGACGTGGAGCTTGCATTTAAGCATTCATAATTGGGGACATGGGGAGGCCAGAGGAGGCCGAGATTTGAGCTTTGGTTTGCAAAACAGTCATTTAATAGATCTTTGGGTCCATTTTCAGGCCCTCTGGGAGTTGTGAGGGGGGGATGTTGTTGTCCTCAAGGACACACGGGGACCTTCAGATTCAGTACTGCTCAGAGACAGGTGAACGTACTGCCCATGTCCTTTCAGAAACGGGAACATGACTAAGTGCTTTTAGTTGCCCATTATTCTCATGTGGGTATCCATTTAGAGATTTGGCCCCCCTGTATATTTCTCTTCTGTTGTGTTCTTTTAGATTAGTAAGGTCCTTATTTTCCCTCAATTATCAGATGAATTCACTCACATTATGAGCAGACTTCTCCAACATGACGGAAATGTGCTCTGCTTTATGACAGTTGGCCTTGTGAGGCCGTTTTCCAGGAAAGTGAATCGATATGTCTTTTTTGGGATACTTTGTTTTGCAAAAGGTGTCAATTTGGCTTTGCCACCAGCTCCAGAGTGAGCTCTTTGTAAACAGCAATGACTCTACTACACATACCAAGCATTAAATAGATTTTGTTTGTTTTTTAAATAGAAAAATAATGGATTCAATTTGTCGGATAAATTGATCAGAAAATCCTGTGCAAAGGTCCCACTAAACTGCATTGTCTGTGTAGCCAAAGCCTGATGTTGCTTATTCCTGTGTGCCATCAAGCTCCAGTGTTGTCCAAATCTATTAATTAAAGGAGCCTACTACGACATTCAGAACATTAATATAGGAGTGAACAACTATTTGCTGTAAGATGTGGTGGAGTGATGGCGCCCTGAGCAGAGAATGAAGTCACACTCCCTCTGTGGGCGTTGTTATCCGAGCTTCTCTGTTCTTTGTTTTGGTAGCTCCGTTAGCTCCGTCAGCATTGTTGCCGTTGTTAGCGCCGTTAGCACCTTTAGCACTGCTAGTCACCACCATTTCAGCTCAGCCACCTCCACGTAAGCTTGTGACGATAGAGGTGAGAGCCGTGTGCAGAAAATCCCGGCTCAGACTATGAATAACGTTTATAACACCTTAAAAAACACATCAATGATTCCACACTGTTGCACACACACCGTTACTAGGAACATGGGCACTGTAGTTTATTTTGAATCAATCCCACACCAGCACACACTTAAGGTAATTAGTTAGCTTGTTTAAAAGCTTAAATTACTGTTTTTATATGTGACCGATTTTTGTTGGGCCACTCGGGCACAGCAGAAACAAACTGTGAACAGAACACTGACATATTATGACTTTTTTAGTTGATATGGGACACTTACTTATTTACCCATCCAGCCGACACAGAGCATCATTTTGATTTAATTGGAGTTGTGTCTCTGGCCACCTGGGGAACGTAAGTCCAATATTCACTCTCTTTTTGCTCTGTTTCTAATGTCTAATGTCAAGGGAATTATTTTTCGACAATAATAAAAACATAGATTACTTAGTTTCCACGTATAAAAATGGCTTGGAATCTGTCAGTATGGTTCTGTTGTATGTTAATATGCTTTTTGTGAAAGAAATTCTAGTGCCTCCTTGTTTTCACTGCTATAAAATAGTAGCTACAATTCAATATATCTTGCCAATGGAAAATGCACTTTATCGGATTAGATATAATAGCTGCATTAGTTCCTTTGTGCTTTAGATAATACCTACTGAGAGGTGAAGATCTTAAACAGGTGTCCTTATCTCAGAGCGGCTCTTTGGTGTCAAATCTGATGATTGATTACTGTTTAGAGGCGAGTGGTCTACTGAGTGGAGCAAATCAAATGCAGAGACCATCAATACTTGTATTAGCAACACTCTCAGTAATTTGTGCTTTGCTTGTTTGCTGACTTTACTACACAACTTAATGGGCCATAGTAATTTGCCATTGGACTGTAATGAGAGCTGCTCAGTCTTAATCGTGTCAACTCTGTGATTGCTGCTGAGTACATGTGATGTAAACTTGACCGCTGGAGATAAAAGCTCACCTTAACCTTTCAATCCCTGCAGGTCAGTAACAATCTATATTCATCTCCCCCACATTTCATCTTCGCACAGTCTGATAACCATTCGAGTATTTTCTTCTTCTTCTTCTCTTAAAAACTGTCAGGTGGTAATTAATGGATACCAATGCCCCTATTTCCATCACGTTCCTTCTCGTTGAGGCTCTAGTGTGTGATTATGCGTGCAAGCATCATTAGCCATTAAAGCATAGCATCATTTTATGTAGAGTTGAGCATACTCTATTTAATGTTAATGATTAAATAGTCTCCCAGGGCTCTGATTTAATTGGATTAGCACACTTATGATTTCCTGCATTATCAAGTTCTGCTGAATTAAATGACCCATCTTGGCTCGGACACAGTGGAAAGATTAAACAGGCCAGCAGCAGGCTCATTGGTCTGAATTGGAGACTTCTTAACAATTAAGACTTTTAAATTCTCTTTGTCTGTAAAGTCACACTGTTTGGTTTTAGCTTGCCCGTCCTTTGTTTTCTATTGTTGTTCTGTTTTCCCTAATGCATGTTGACACAGTAGTCTGGAGTAATGGCTCTGAAATGCTACACTGAATCAATGCCGGGTGCCTTTTCCTCTCTTAGGTAATTTACTTGGTAATGAGAGACGGTGCGGAAGACTGTCTCTGTGCGCGTTCTGTAGATGTAATCTGTTTTTTTTATTATTCAGTCGGGTTAAAAAGACTTGGTCTGCTAATTAATTAACCATGAAACACTGAAATAGGATTTCACTGAAGGGCTTAATTTGGGTAACCACATCACCTTCCTGTCACCCAACTGTCCCTCATTGTCTGTTACTGAACTTTGTCTATCTTTGACAAAGCCCGGTAATTCAGCGTCTGGCGGTACCACATAAAGCCTAAACACGTATGTCTCTGTGTGTGTAAGGCCATAAGGTGTGTATACATGTGTGGATATGTGTGGGTGATATTCCCTCTTGTCTCTATAAAACAATCTGTATCAATCAGTGTTGATCTAAATGACCTGGCGTGTCAACAGCAAACCCACAGGAGAGTGGTTTTCAGGGCGAGAGATAAGGTCAAAAAAGCCATTTTGGGTGTCATAAAGGAAGTATTGTCTAGATATTGATGTCATTTATTACCTGACATGGATGGTTATAGACGGGTTGGTGAAAAAAGGGGGGGAAAGCGCTGCCTTAATGTTCTGAAATGGAGGATAGCCATGATGGAACAATCAATTAACCTTGGCCTGGAAGTGAACTGGTTGATATTTCAACACGATTTGATTTGTTGACAAATATACCATCTGCTGTTCTGTGGATAAGGGGAATGACACTGTGTGTGTGTTCAAGGGTGTGTGCTTGCATTGGCCCTGGGATACAAGTATGAGTGCTTTGTGTGTGTGTCTGTCTGTCTGTGTGTTTTACCAGTCTTCTGGGGACATAAATCTAACATAAATCATTTTAGGATGAAGACTTGGTTTGAGGTCAGGGTAAGCTTACGGTTAAGGTTAAGGTAAGGGATAAGATTAGGCTGGTAGCCGCCATAAGTACTCTGGAAATGAATGTAAGTCAATGGAATGTCCTCAAAAATCATAAAAACACGACTGTGTGCACACAAATAACCAGTTGTTGTGCTGACAGAATTTATAAGATTTGATCTTGAAGAGGAAACAATTCTGTGCTGAAATACCAAGACACTCATCAGCTAATGTTAATGTCAGAGCTACGCCGTAGCTGCAAAGTCAGTGCTGCACCTGTGATGCTCGTCGAGATTGAGAAGTGCTCCTTCAACATGAGGCAGAATCCATAAACAGCCTTTCCTCTCGTAACCCCTTCCTCAGCTTGAACACTCAGTCTAATTGATTAAGAAATCAGAAGAGAGCAGGGAGCCAAACCACACAGCAGAGAGAGAAAGAATATTCAGAAGGCTTACCTAAGCTTATTCCTGGCATTCCCCTCCCCTCAATGTCCTTGTTTTTTTAATTTCCTGAATAAATGATGATAACATAAGACACAGTTAAATCTATGCGTTCATAAAAAGATGGTGTTTTTTGGCAAATGCTATTTGCACCCAGGTGTCAGAAGCCAACAATGCTATTTGCACGCAGGCAGAATAGCCAGTTTCTTATTTAGCTTTTTACACCATGGTGTATATAGCATGGCAGAAACAAGCACCAAGGTGTCAACAATGCTATTTGTACACTGATACCGTAACTGAGAACTGAAAATCCTATTAATAAAAAAAAAATGCTAATAAGTGTGCAAGTAGGCTTCTCACAAGTTTCAAACCCCATTTTCCTGGGTGAAAGTTATCCTCCACAACCTTTTCCCTAAACATACATCGTCACTCTTTATAATACTATATACTACCTTGTACTACTACTAAATCTTCTCTCTGGCAGAAAGCCTTTAGGCTAGCTAGCTACTGCTAAATTAAATAGCATATTCAACTTGGCTGGCTGTAAATAACAAATAGCTACCATGTGACTATTTTTACCCGAGTGCAAATAGACTGTTGTTATTATTTTTTTATACTGGTTTATTGTTAATAAATGTAATGCTGATTACACATTTGTGTTAATTCTGCTATTTTCCCTTATTATCGCTCCACTTCACAACATGCAACTTCATTTGCAATGCAAAACATTGTTTTTTTTAATTATCCCAAAGTCACTTTTTTATCGTCCTCTCTGTGCATCAGAAGGACTTAAGATAGTCTCATCCTCCAGAGAAAGCTTACAGTCTTGTATCAGCATCATAACAAATCATTGTGCACTATTTTCTGCACATTACTTGTGCACTCAATCCCTGCAACATTTAGATCTGAGGTTGTTTTACTTTCAGGCATTGCTTCACTTGTTTCAGAATCAGAGATATAACTTATTTTGCATCTTGTAGGTGAAAACCTGGCCTCGGTGTTCTGATATCTCTCTTCTGTCTCTGCAGGTTTTGGGATGACAACGCCTGTGACAGTGGCAGGCAAGGTGTTCCTGATCTTTTATGGGCTTTTGGGCTGTGCTGCCACCATCCTCTTCTTTAACCTCTTCCTGGAACGCATCATCACACTGCTGGCCGTGGTGATGAAGGCCGTGAGGGAGCGGCGAATCAGGAACGGTGGTATACTCCCGCCAGGCATCCGCCATGACTTCTCAGCCTACTCCCTCCCCGGCTGGAAGCCCTCCGTGTACCACGTCATGCTGATTCTCGGACTCTCAGCCATCACCATCTCCTGCTGTGCGTCAGCCATGTACACCCCCGTGGAGGGCTGGGCTTACTTAGACTCACTCTACTTCTGCTTTGTCACCTTCAGCACCATCGGATTTGGGGATTTTGTCAGCAGCCAGGGTGCGGCTTACAAATATCAAAGCCTCTACAGGGTGGCCAACTTCCTCTTCATGCTAATGGGAGTGTGCTGCATCTACTCGCTCTTCAACGTCATCTCTATTGTCATCAAGCAGGTGCTCAACTGGATTCTGGAGAAAATGAGCTGCTTGTTTTGCCAGCGCTGCAATAAGGCCAACGTCCTCCTGGGCAGACGCAATGCCATCCGGCCGGGCTCCAAGGGTCGCCAGGGTCGACTCGGCCAGCAACCCGACTCAGATGGACCATGTGATAGTGATACTGAGGGACGCAGACTATCAGGGGAGATGATCTCTATGAAAGACTTGGCAGCCTCTAACAAGGTGTCGCTGGCCATCATGCAGAAGCAGCTGTCTGAGTCGGCCAACGGGTATCCCAGGACAGTCTGTGGCAGCTCACGCCATAATGGTTTCTCTGGGGGGGTTGGCGCACTCGGTATCATGAACAACAGGCTGGCAGAGACGAGCAACTCCAGGTAGAGGACACAGCGAGACAGGAAGTGTGGGATCTCTTGATTCTTATACTGCGAAACAAACGCTGAGGTTGACGGCCATGGAAAAAATACACGGCTTCTGAGATGGATTGGCAATGTAACTTGTTATGCATGACACACGTGATTTTTTGGATACTTTCGGTTGGAATTACAAGGCTGTGGAGATAATAACGGTAATGATGGCGACGGTTTCAGTGATGATTTGGCGATGATGGTATGAAGAGAGAACCGCAAAGTCAACATAAAAACATCCGGAAGCTTGGGCACCATCCATCATCCATTGCATTAACCTCAAACCCAACCCAGAACAAATCACTGAAATGTCAGTTATTCTGCGGAGGTCTGTTATATATGCTCAATATATCAGACTGAAATGTGCTGTAGAGCCAAGGGAGGCATACAATGCAATCTTCATTGTTTTGGGCCAGTTTATTTGAATGTACATATTGAATGCTGATACAAACAAGACAAGTGTATTCACTGAATGACATGGCACATACCGATCTATGCATTATACGTCTCATGCATTTTTTTGCACCATTTCTAGACCTTCCATTGATTGTGCAAACCCCATGTGTTTCTTGACATGAGTCAAGTTTTACCCTCAGGTGATTGATTTCATTTCTGGGGGCGGTAGAGTTTCGCTAAGCATGGCTGTGATGTAGCTGATTTCGACAGGGCAGTAGTGAGAGTTGAGTGTGGCACACTAATTTCCTATTGCTCAAGATGGAGAAGAGAGCAGAGTTGAAAAATGAAAATCCATTTCTTGTGAGAGAGAAACTGGCCTTCTTATCAGCCCAAAAAATGCTTCTGTGGCCAAAGACTTTGACTTGAAGGGTAAAAGAAGGCACCACCCACTCTCTCTTCTTTTTCAAACCTACAGCTGTCTGCGAGGAAAACAAATGATAACGGCTTGCAATGTATTAATTACTCTTTGAATGCAGAATGTAGACTTATGTATTTGCAAAAACTGAATAAATGAGGAGTAAGTTTATGTTTGTTTGAAGTGAAATATAAGGGAGAGGAGGGGAGGTGGAGAAGGAGGCAAATGATGGATGGTTTTATCCTGTAGGTACATTATGTTAAATGATACAGATTGAAAGTAGCCGGGTTAATCTCAGATGCTGGAGTTGAAAACAAAACCCCGAAGGATTCTGTTGAGCATCGATTTGTTTTTTGGGGGGATATTCTGTTTTGATTAAGGGAGACTTCTTCGCAGACATGGTTCTCTCTGTGAAACAAAGCATGATCCAAAAGCCTGCACAAGTTGATTTTCCCCGGTTTTGGTGTAAATGTGTAGCCAAAGTTTGGATAGACGGTGTTTCCGAAGGATGCAGTGCTACCAAGCCACGCAATCAATGTCCTAGTTGCCGGTAACTATCTCTTCCAGGGCATCTAAAGATTTAAAGCCGTGTAATGTGGGTTTGATTTTCGCCAACGGCACGACAGAGGAGGAGTCGGTGATAGTTAACCTGTCCAGGAGACGGCCATGAAGGAAGAGAACTAGATAGAGAGGCCTACAGGTAGAGAAGGTGGTGTCAAATTCATGGCCAATCAAAATAAAAAGGTCGATCTCAGCCAAGGGCTCAACTTTTCTTGGCGTCCATGTTCAACATCTAAAATCCTGGCTGCTCATCTCCTTTTCTCTGTCATCTCTGCATTCACTTCACACACACTGCACCAGAACCATCCTGCCTCCTATTTCCCACAGATCTTGGCTCTCTCCTCACGCTCATCACCCTTACACTGTGAATACGATGAGACATGCCATAGATGTAGATATATACAGTATATATATATATATATATAGTATTGGAATGTCTTAAAAGGCGCTTTTACAATAAGGCGTGAATTGGATCAGAATCTTTTCTTTGTTGATTCTCATCCTGTTCGTGCATAGATCTGAATAATTTCCTTTACTCCCCAGTCTCACCAAGAGGAATAGAGAAAATGACTCAGGTAGTTAAATCTTCAGGCTTGTCTTAGTTTGTCCTGCATGCCATTATGGTAAAGCCATACAAGATAGCTGTATATAAAACAGAGGACTCTTTAAAGTCTATTTTTCTACATATAGCTTGTACATGTGGATGATTGAATAAGTCATCGTCTCATGTCTACTACACAGCCAGTCAGCAGAATAATAAGCTGCACCATACAGAACTTAACTACCCTCTCAAAACGTGGATGCTAGGGTTAAATGTCAACACTTTGTAGTTTGCTGTTTTGGAAAATACACATACCGGTATTCTTTCTTGCGGAAAGCTGGATGGGAAGATTGACTGCAAGATAAATATGAAGCTGGAGCTGCTTAGCTTAGCTTCGAGTGGTGCTAGCAGGCTGTAAAAACCCTCAAATACTTTAATAGTTTACTCTGTGGGGTTTGTACAGATTTAACAAACAAGATAAAACAAGTTATTTATTGAGCTTTAGATGTGCTGGAATTCTGTTACCTTTGAGCAGGCCCAGGCTAGCTGTTTAGTCTTCATGCTAAGCAAAACTAGCTTAGCTAATCTTTCTTGAACAGGACCAGTACCTTCCTGGAGTCCCTGCTGTTTACCTTGCAACTGATGCCGGCCAAGAAATAGTCTGCCACATTACCCCCTGAAAACATGCGAATTGTCGAGTTATAAAAATATTAATTAGAAAGCTTTAGAGCCAGGCCAGCTGTATCCCCCCTATTACAGTCTTTATTTTATGCTAAGCTAACTAGCTGCTGGCTCTAGCTTATCAATTGGCACGTCTAAAGCTCACTAATCAACAAATGATATCTCCTTTGTTAAATCCAAGAGGTAAAACAAATAGCGGTTCCACCTGTTTATGCAAAGCTAAGAAAAGCAGCTGCTGTTTGTATCTTCATATTTACCACATAGATGGGAGAGTGATAACGCTCAGCAAGAAATAGGCTTTACGATTTTACGGTTAAGCTTGCAGTGTCGGGGGGGGGGGATTTGCCATACTATTAGCAGTCTCATTGCAGGCATAGAAAAGTGGCAAACCCCAGGACATTTCAGCATTAGTATGGGCATGCTGTAGCAAATTACATACTATGGTGTGAATTCAATGATGTCCCCCTTGCTTCAATATACCTGGGGAAACGTTTTGCTGCCATAATGCTGTATGTGAACCTTCATTTTCCTTCTGAGGCTCGAGGTTACAATGGAAGAGGTTCCAGGATTGCTGACTGATTATTAAAAGCCCCTGTAGCCGTCAGGGTCTAGCGGGCTGCATTGTATCCTTAACCTTATCCTTAACAAGGAGCATGTGTGTGCATTTGTGTGTTCAAACCGGTGTGTGTAAAGGACTGAGAATTAAAGGACTGTGATATGTTATCTTAAATGCTTCCTTAAATATAAGTCCCCCAGAAGGTATTTGACTCAATATAATATAGATTAAAATGTATTTCCCTTAAGACTGAAACACATCAAGCTTTTAAGACGACACTGATTATAATATTTAGAGTAATGTTTGCTCACCTAAAACGCATGTGTGGCTTGAAATCAATTGCCTTACTTTAGTCCTTGTCTATTATAAAAAGGTTCCTTATTTAAAAGATTTTAGTGTGTAAAGTTTGTGTGGTGTACATTACAATCCTTTTGCATTTTGCAAAATTGATCTCCATTGATTGCAATGGTTTTAACTGTCCCGCTGTCCTCTGTATCTTCTGTAAGAGGAGACAGGTGGTCTTAGGATTTGCTGTATGTTTGTATTTGTTATCAGCAGAAACGCCACTCAAATGTCATACCAATGACTTTTCTTTTAGTGTAATTTATTTGTGTAATGTTCAAAATTAGATTGAATATTTTCAAGCCCACACTATTAGTACATAATATGGGTGAACATAGCAGACTTGGATCACAGCGCTGCATGATTCTCAGTTTAAGTTGTTTTTGTTAATTTAATCTTGAATTGTTCAAATCAACGCCGCCAGTGTTTATTCCAGTCAACACATAATGTAATGTATTCACACTGGAAAATCTGCCCTGTAGTCAAGCACACTGTGACTGTTGAATAGCCCCATTAAAATGTCATGCTCCACAGCCACTACAAGGCCCATAATAAAACTTATTTTTTTTTAAAATAAGCAGAGACTGGAGATGTTGTTAGTGTTAATCTTGGAGGCTGTCGACGGTGCTAATGGCATTAGTTCTTTGTGATCACAGTACGATACATAACACTCCGGTTTCATCTGAAGAGGATTGCATGATTGCTTTTGTATTTTAAGACTGTTAAAGCCGCTAGTTTCAGGAACAAAATGTATTTACACTCATTTTGCTGGAGCACAAGCGGTGAACAGCTGAGTGGTTTGGTAACAGAATGATGTATTACGTCTCTGCTTGGCTGCTTCTGATCACATTGTTGGTTTTGATCTGGAGCTGGGTTTCCAAATCTGCAGAACGTGTGCCTGATGTTTGTTGTATTATGAAGACTGTTGGAGACACAAACTAATTCAGATCTCAATTTGGAAGTTACTTCAGGTGACTGTGATCCACAGTTATGTTGACCTTTGGTTCTATCAACATCACCATAATTATTCACCTTGCTGTGTGTCTCAATTTGCTTGCATTGTGGTGTAACATGCAGTTAATGTCTGCAAATTCATTCTGTTTGCAAGTTGCACATTTATACAAATGATTGTACTTTTATATTTATGTAATTAAAAGTAAAACCTATATGAAACAAGAAGGGTTCCATTAAACACTGATATTTCTTTCATTTTCTTAATTGTTATTCTCATAAATGACTCATAATTGAAATGTTTGCGGATTTGCCATTTGTGATTATTTCAGAAAGAAGATGTGACGGGTTAATTAGTGAGATTTAGAGGTGCTGGTAATTTATTACCTTTAGACAGAGCTAAAATACCCCTTATTTCCAAGCTAATTGGCTGCTTGCTGTAGCTTCACATTTAGCGTAGAGGCCGAGTGGTCTCAATCTTCTCATCTAACTCTCACCAAAAACAAGCAAATAAGTGTATATCCCAAAACATTGAAATGTTTGTTTAATGACTCACCAGTCAGAGAGATATTTTCCACAACCTGGCAACCCCAAACTTGTTCTATTTGATGGTTGTTAACAAATCTATAATGCTACAGTGAATTCTTTATTAACCATTTATAAATCCAACTTGTAAGCCCTTAATAAAAAGGTAACTTCATAGAAAGTGGTACCAAAATTGGTAAAAACATTGTTTCAATCAATCAATCAATTTTATTTAAGGTGCAGACAATGTGAAAATTCACAACTAAATTTCAAGCAATGCTGCAAAACTGCAAAAAGTCTGTTAAGCTCCAAAACAGTCACTAACAGAAAAGCAGCCAATGTCCCCTTTGGCTTTTTACAGACCTGCTGTGTCTCGTCATCGCATTTCTGAATGAAGAGATATGTTCATAATTAAAAGTGGTCCTCAGCATGTATGACAAATTGTATCATGCATCATGTATTTCCACCAGAACACGTACAGCCTTCTGAAAGGACCTTGAAACAGTGTGGCTCTTCAGTAATGGGTCAATCAGGATGTTAGTCATAAAGCTGGACCTGTAATTGCATTCATTATTGAGATGAGTCTGATCCCAGAAAATTATGCAGAAAAACAACATACTGTATATTATCTCACTGCACGGGGGTTATGGGAGTCTGTGTGGAGGAAATGTGCCACAAAGTCTTTGCTCATCAGTAATTCTCTGTTAAGCAAGAAGCCGGCTTTCTGCTATCATTAGGGACGTTGAACAGCCCAATATTGTTGCTGCGAGAATTAACACCCACCTGAATGTCTGTCCTCTCCTTCTGCTGGACTACATTTGATCACCAGAGTTTTAGTTTAGCTGGAATATCCGCATGTTGCCAGGCTTGTACAAAATAAATGGAACTGCGTTTGTTTCCCACAAAAACATTTGAAAAAACAAGTCCATATTTACTGCAACACTTTGACACATAAAAGAGTTCCCTGATTTAGTCATTTATGCGGGGATTTTTTTTTTTTTTATATTTTCTTTGTTTCCCCTTGCTAGGCATTTTAAAATAAACCTCTCTGTTGCACCGGTACAGTGTGAAGAGCGTGCTTGTCCCAGAGGGAGACAGGACTGCAGTTCAACCTCAAGCAGCAGGCTGAAGTGTTTCCTCTGGGTCAGAGACATGTGACTCAATTCCTTCACTGCGGCAGAAACCTCTAATTGTTGTCAGGGACTGTTCTCACTGTCTCCTTTTGCATCTGCTCCCTTTTTTCACTTAGTCTTCACTTAACTAAATATAAACACTCCTTCTTCAACGGCAATCAGATAACATTGATTTCTGGAAACTGCAGGAGATAGATAGACATAGAGACAAATTGGACTCCACCAAATCCCAACAGACACACTGTTGAAATGTCATTTATCTTCATTTTAAGATTGTCACAAGGATTTGGTTAGCAAGCAGTTGAGAATATGCTTCTCTTTGAAACCGTGTCAAATTGAATACATTGTTCAATCAGTCTTGAGAGTGTGCATGAATACAGTCAGAGTGAGATCTGTGGAAAAGGGTCGTTTAAGAGTTATCACGACTTTTTCGACTTTCCGGGAAAAAAAGATTGGCCGGCTCAAATAAAGAGAAAGATTATACTGTAATTGGAGTTATTGACGTAAATACTACCGTAAAGGATAAGTCTGACATTCAATATTTTCTTTATTGTTATAAAATCCCTCGTCTGTGTAGCCTGACATTTGAACAAAAGGGTAAATAATATTACATAACATAGCTTATGTAATATATAGCTTATTCCTCTGTGATAGATCTCCATTGTTTTCCAAACACCAAAAAAAAACACATCAGTGAGCCACTCTGGCTCTGCCTATAACCTGTTCCTTCATTATGATGAACCTGGGCACTGTCGTCAATCCCACATATCCTGCAGCGGTAAACACTAGCACACCACATCCACAGCTGAAAATAGTCCCGAACAAAAATACAATTTCCTCCTGTTTGAGTAACCTTTGGTGATACATACAGTGCCCGGCTGTTTTAACAAATTATTTAGCCTTTATTTTCAAATGGACAAACTAACTGTATCAAATAAAAATGATTGTAATCTTTTAATTAATCAGTAGGAATGAATGGGCTTAGTTGGGTCTTACAGCTACAGTTGGGGTAGAGAAGTCAGAAGAACAATAGTTATTGTTGACAATAACAAATTATCACCAGCCTTGCCCTTTAATCAGAAATAAGGCAGCAAATCATTTAGGGCTTTTTTCATTTTAGTTGGTGCTCAATTTAAGTCATTAAAATCAGAATTTAGATCTAGATTCAGATTTTAGGAGATAAAAATAAATCCGATGTTCTCAGAATTAATGAGTGAAAATAAAACAGCTGAGCAGAGACATACTCATGTATATATACATATATATAAAATATATAATGTTGTCTGAAATGACTCTTTATAGTGATTGACTGTTTGAAATAACTGAATGATAAACGAAGGACTCTTGAAAGGTTTATATCAGAGAATTGACCTGTACGTCTTTAAATTTAGACATTTGAATAACCACTGGCAGTTAATTGCTTTGGTCTTTAATATCCTCCAGGCTCTTAACTCATTCATGTCTTAACCTGGAGATGTAATACGTTTCGTCGCATTCAGAACCACTTTCGACCCAGCAACCTCTTGTCATACATGCCTTTCATGTCGAGTGGCCGATGTTCCATCAATCTATTCAGAATGCACATGGGGACGTCTGCTGAAATAGCCTGCAGTGCTCTAATAGTATCTGAAGAGACCATGAGCGTATCTGAATTAAAGGCAGAGTGTGAGATTCAAAAGTCATTGTGGAAATGCAACATTTACATGTAGAGGGGCTGAGCAGCCTGAGTGATGAGGCAATTACCTTATAACATCTGCTCTTTCCATTACCATGGGAGGAGAGCTAGAGAGAGAGAGGGGGAGGGGTTAATAGATAAGGGAAACTCACCACTTCAGCTAATGAAGTTTAATATGATCTCTTCTTCAGATTCGAATACAGTGGTGTTTACAGATATTATTCAGTGTCAGCTTGCTTAAATGCAAGAAACCACATCATTCACAGCAGATAAAGTTAGATGAATACTCATCAAGCTGGAGATGAGAAGAAAACCTTTCAGCTTTGAACACCTCGGTGACTGAGATCAAGTGGACATATAAAGCAAACATTGAATGGTTTTTCATTCTCATTAGTGGAAAAGAAATAGGTCCAAACTCTACGGCAAATCCACCTCCTTCTGTGCACCAAGAGAGTGATTTTAGTGTTTTCATCTATACAGCAAGTGGCATCCAGGTTTAATACTCACATAAGTTAAATAAAAAGAGCCTGGTAGACATAACCTGTGGCTTGAATTTTTATTTTGATGGGGAGGAGGGGAATCTTTTTTTAGGAGAGCTTCGGTGTCCCTGATAATTAGCTATTGTCTTACTGCTTGGAGGTACTGAAACACCAAGGTTATCTACATACGATAGTGGAAAGTGAAAAAGCAAGCAGTAAATGCAGTGCAAAAACATCAACCACAACGCTCTAAAATGTTAAAAATTACAACTACCACCTCCTGTATCATCACGGTGGCAGCGCATGGCAAACAGATGAGGAGGCAGCAGAAACTGCAATCCTTTATTTGTATACAGCTTCCAGGCTCGAGACCAACACAACAGGCAGCAACTCAGGCAAACTGGAACAGAGCTCCAAACAGAAATGAAGACAAACCCGAGAGAGAACAAAGAGGCTGGTCTATGTAGTGACGGACGGATGGGGAAGAACAGGTGAGCAGGAGCTCCGGTGACTGCAGGCCTGACGAGAGACAGGTGAAACCAATCAGGGCAGACGATTAACAAAGGCAGGAAAACACACAAAGGCAAGGAAGTAAAACACCAGTCATGACACGAGGACAGAGTGAACTTACTAAGCAAAAGCAGGAAACATTAAACATGAATGAATAACGTGAAAAAAACAGATCAACAAAAGATGCAACACAGTGCAGTCCTCAAAAGTGGAAGTGGTCATCCGGTTTTGTTCCAGTACAGTGCAATCAGTGAGTCGAGCAGATCCACACCCACACATTTTATTGTTGTATTCTTTCACCACAGCAGTGCAGGGGTCTTTGGTGATCATCTTCCGCTTCTAAACCTTGGTGACTGGGTGGGCTCCACTCAATAGGGTCACTGAGTGGTTCACAGTGTGCAAGGTGGTTTCTCGTGGAACAGTAACGTCTTCATCTTCCTCCTCAGTCTCGTTGTCAACAGTCAAGCACACATATGTTACTCTGCTCACTGACCCCCTGACATCCGAACTGTCTCTCAAACAGGATTTGGGTATCAACTCCTCCCGACTGTCTTTAATGTCCGCAGAGGGAAGGACGCTGTCTGCTCAATCTTGTTATAAAATATTCCATTTTCTGTAAGTATCAGTAGGTAGTAAAGTAAAAACATTGTCTATGGTCATAATGCGAGCACATCTCCACACTCCAGCATGATATCGACCGGAACAAAGTGGTCGAAGTGCACAACGTTGCCCTGAGGCAACAAACAGAAAAGACACTTTTAGTATATATATAAAAACAAAATATATCTTTCAACAATCCAACATACTTCTTTCATGTTCGTGCATATATTTGTATGTAAAGCAATTTTCAACACCATGCAATAGAGGGTTAAATTCTTGTGAAATGTTAGCAGTTCCTTGGGA